TGATAAAAGATCTGTTCAGAAGATCTTCTCATACTTCTTCAGAAGCTTCTTTATATACTTATTCTTCTATATATCTTTTATCTTGGTTTTCTCTGCTTCTGAGTTCTGTATGACATACAGAATGCTTTTGAATGAGGTCTTGTGAATTATTCTCTTTACTTATTAATGTGTAAGCAGATTTAATTCTTCTATATCAGAGATGTAAAATATTCTTCTCATATCAGTTAATAGAATTGTATGAACTGTTTTCTTTCTATCAGTCAACTATATATGACATGTACATCATTGAATCTGCAGATTGAATCTTTGAAATTAATTAAGTCTGAGAATAAGATTATATTTCATGTTCTGCAGCTCTTATACTTAAATATAGCAAGATCATTCTCTGAAGTGCAAGAAAACTCTTACTCTTACAGATGATATCAAATATTAGTTATCAGATAATTTTATATGTCAGAGATTCTTCACTCAGTGAATCTCTTTTAATCTTCAGATTATATAATTATTAATATATTATATAGAAGCTTCTGTGTCTACTAATACTTTTGCAGTCATCTCTCAATTCTTATTCAAGTGCTCTCTATACATTAACATTTCAGGTCTTAAGATATTGAGATGAGTATTCACTTCATCATTCTCACTTACATCTCATTTGAGAGTCTGCTTCTTCTTTGCATTTGCAGAATTCAGAGAATCATCTAACACAGACATCTCTTTCACTTTAAAGACTTTTTATAGAATATCAGTGAGTGTCTCTGAGCTCACTGATTCTGCTAGTTTTTTAACTCTCTTGCTTCTCTTGACTGTGCATGCTGAGTACAATCTTTTATACTATGATTTTAACATCTGCAGTTGAAGCAAGCTCAATACTTATAATATCAAGATTTTCACTCAGAGAATCTCTTTTTCAGAGAATTCAGTGCTTTAGTAATAGCATTCAGATCTAGATTCATTGTGTTCAGATATATAACTTGTGTTATAGAAGTCTGATTATCTGTTCTTCACTGAGATATACTCAATTACAGTATTTTCTATTACAATTGACTCACTTGTTTCTATATAATGAGAATGTTATATGCTTCTTTCACTGTGTCTGATTATAAGATTAAGTATTTTCATTCTGCTCTTAACTTGAGTGTAAGATTATGAATGAAAATCTATAAACAGAAAGATGTTGAAAGCTCTTCATTCAATATGAGATAGTATAAGCTAAAGTATGTAAAGTATGATGTAAGATCACTTACTTATCTACACTCAGTGAAGTGTTTATAATACTTATCTTATATATTCACTTTCTCAAAGTTGTGTAAGATTCATTTGAAAAACTTATTTCATATTTATGAAAATGAATATTACTCTGAGTCTGTGAGATTCATCTTTTCATCAGCTATTTATAATGACTTCACTTTTCTGTGTAGAAACACAGCAGATCTTAAGACTTGTTAAAATTCTGTTAACTATCTATCTGTGAGTTCACATTTAATCTGATAATATGATTATATCTGACTTAGTCAGCTGATTGCAGTATTATTTTTTCAGTCATTATTAAAGCTTAATAACTTCAGCAGATCTTCTGACTTGATGTATTTCATACTCAGATTCTCATTCTGTACAGTGATCTCTGATGATATGTATACTTCTGAAGAGATTATAAATGATTATGATAAGATCTTCAGATTCAGTGTAGTTATCTATCTGTGTAAATATTCAATCTTCTACTATAGATCTAAGATCTGATTTTCTCTATTTTTATTAATGATGATGATTGTATCAGTGAAGCTCTTTATAGTGAATACTTAATTCACAGCAAATGCTAATTGTTATTTAACTTCTGTCTCAGCCTGTCACTGTGTATGCAAGACCTCAATCTTGTTTAGAATTCTTGTACATATACAGAGCTTTGATTCTGATTTAACTGTCTCAGCTGCTTTTCTTACTGCTTTGAGTAAATCCTCAGAAAGATTCTGTATATCTTTCAGTTCAGATAGCAGAGAAGAGTGTTATTCATATCAGCTAGAGAAGATATTTATTTCAGTGATTTCTTGTTAATCATACAATATCTATTGTTATATTGCTATATTGTTATATGATTTCTATTATTATCACACAACTCTGATGATAACTATCTCCTTCTTTTTATCCTTCTTTTAAGTAGGGAGTGAACTTCTTTGAATCTGGTTCACTGCTTTCATTCTCTTTCTCACATCTCATCTGTTTGTGTCTCATACATGGCATTCACCTGGGTGTGGAGTTTTCCCTCAACAAGTGAAGCAGTTTCAATCAGATACTCTTTCACTCATTACTCTTTATACACTATCTTTTGAGGTGTTTCTAGGACCACACTGGCATGATAACTATAAATTGCTTCATAGACAGAATTATCACACCCTGAAGGAGCCTGTGCTTCTCACCAGTTTTTAGACATGCTACCAGATGTGATTCAAAGGTTGCTTAAGCCAGTGTACGATTACAGGCGTACGCCGGCTTCTTATATATTGTAATATCGTACGCTAAATTAATTAGTGGCTGCTATGGCCCCCTTTACATTCGTACGCTAGTTCGGAAGCGGCCGCGTTATTATCCGACAGTCGTACGTTCTTCCGAACCACATCTTTAAGATATTATAATATATTTTACAATCTGTCTTCTCTTACTTAAACATCTTCTTCTCTTTCTTTAATCTGTAACAGTACTCACGCGTCTTAATAATCTACAGAATCTGTAGCGTACGCCGCTACGTAGGGTCAGATATAAGGGTAAAAACTTGTCTTATTCTCTAAAAGATGGGAGATGGGTGTATGCCCTTATATATACAGTGATTGTTTTATAGAGATTAACTCTTGTAGAAGAAGCAATTGCCTATGAAGAGAAGAACAGAGGCTCTGTAGAGAAGAAGTGAATGCTCTCATAGAAGAAGTAATTACATATGAAGAAAAGAATAAAGACTCTGTAGAGAAGAAGTGAAAGCTCTCATAGAAGAAGTAATTGCATATGAAGAAAAGAACAGAGAAAGAAGATAGAAGCAGAAGCTTCAGAAAACAGCAAGAGATAAAGCAGAAGCTAGAGCTGAATAGAGAATTGACTTGAATAGAAGGCAGAAGCACGCCACAGTCTCTCTATTCAAAAGAATGTGTCTGTGAAGAAGAAAAAATGATGTTAAAAAAAGATGACAGATATTACAGATACTAGGCTCAAAGAGGCAGATATTATTCAGAAGTGCTAGTCTGTTTACATATACTGCAGATATTATAGAAAAGAGAAGACTGAGTGATAGAATTGCTTATTCATACAAAGAGTAATTAGATGTAAGAATTGTTTATCTCTACAAAGAATGAAAGATGTAAGAATGACTTAAAAAGAAATAATAAGAAAGAGACAGAAGTTCTTTAATCTAAAAACAGCTGTAAGAAAAGAAAGAAATTATAAAGAAATCACAAAAAGCTTAAATGAGAAAGAGTTCTTTGATAAGATACATGAGAGTGAAAGTTTCATTGTGATAAGAGAAAGATTCTGTGAGTGATAGAGATTAGTGTAGATGAATAATTGTATTAATATATATATCACAATCACTTTCTTCTTATTCTTCTCTTATTTCTCACACATCTTGCTAAAATTTAACATAGCAGAATTAGCAAAAATCACAACATATAGAAGATTAGATCATGAAAATAATGAGTCTCAAGAAGAAGTCAACAGCCGTGAAGACAGGCGCAGTGAGCATGATGAAAAAGGCCTTGACCTTAGAGAAATTATTTCAGTTGTTAAGTCAGGAGAAGTGTGATGCTCTTCTTCATATAAGTGATAGAGAAGAGAAGACAGGCAAGAAGATTAGTGAAGAGAAGATAGATGAGAATGAGATGAAAGAAAATAATAAAGATAAAGAATTAGAATTTCAGACAAATGAGCTTCTGACACTATCAACTTATCTTTTCATATACAAAGTGATCAAAGACTAAGATAAGAGAAAGACAGTGACATTTCATTATTGCTCAGCTAGGCTGCATGATACTGCTGCAGAAGAGTTAACAGATGAATCATATAATAGAAGCTTGAAGAGTCAAGAAGAATCTAAGACTGTGATACAAAAGCTTATAACACTGTTTACTCATTTGAAAAAGTCATAACTGTTCACATGCTGGTTTTCAGAAGAAGATATCAAGATGAATGAGAGAAGAGAGAGTCAGAAGACTGCTGCAGAAGCAGCTGATGATAAAGAGCTGTAAGTAGAATCAAAAGTGAGAGCTGAACAGACAGATACAGATGCTGAAGAACTGTGACTGATGAAAGAGAATAAGAAGCACTGAAGAGCTAGTCAGAAGTAGTATGAGACTCTGAGTAACAATATTTTAAGAAAGTTGAGATAGAAGAAGAATATCAAGAGTGATCAGATGCCTTGATCATATAATACAGCACATATAAAATGTCTGTATTATAATGACAAGACTGACTTACACTTCTGACAGAATGATAAGCTCACTCATCTGAGCATGTCAATCATGCAGAACCTGACTGTGAAGAGGCTTGCAGATACTGTCTCAATCATTGAAAGACTTACAGAATATAGTGAGAAGATGTCATTTATCAATTATGAATTTTTTGTTTTACTCAGTCAGTGATTAATTAAAGATTTGAGATAGTTATCTATCAAGTAAAAGTTGCACTGATGAATAAATAATAATAAGCTAATCACTTCACAGACTGTCAATTCTAAGAATTCTGCTAATCAGAATATCATTATTCTGCAGATTCATGAAAAAATAGCTTCTGTATCATGTCAGTCTTATGTGAAGAATCAGAGATGATTCAAGAAATGTATGATTATTCCTGCAGATGATAAACAGACACAGTAAGAATATAACACTTACATCAACTATCAGTGAGAAAATAAGAGATCTCACTACTCTTTAAATCACTGTAGCTGATATGAACTCAGATGAAACATAGATAACTTGCTATTTAAAGAGAGTGTATCTGAATTTGAAAAGACTGCAGCTGAGAAGATGAATGTTGATGATATTATTAAGATTAGTGATACAGAGAAGAAGGATGATTCAACTATAGTTTCAATGAAGAGAATATCTATATCTTTCAAGTACAAGACATTGAGTCTGATTGTGCTGAAACTCTCAAAATATGTTCAAATCAGTGAGCAGAGCATCTCAACATCTGTGAAGATAAACAGTGAGATGAAGACAAGCTATTCAACCCCTGCTAAGATGATTAACAAGGCTAAGATAAGCAGTGTGTAACAGTCATCAATTCTGTCTTCTGAAGACTGTATAGTTAATTATAGAGCTCAAGATTTGAAGATACTGAGACAGCTGCCTAATCTTGATAAGTATAATCTGAACATTATTCAGACTGTGCAGAAGAAACTGAATAAGATAGCTGAGTTTATTAATGTGATTTCAGCTGCAGAGAATATCATGACTAATAATTATTTCTTTAAGTTGTTCAGTGAGGTGTGTTTCAGCAATCTTGTGAATAAGAAATTATTAGTGAATATTGTATTTTGAGATATACATCTCACTGAACAGAAGGTCAAGCTGCAGAAAGAGCTTGAAGATGATTAATAAGAAGAGACAGAGTAAAATAATGAAAAGAATGAAAGATGATGATTTTCTTGTTTTCTTTGTCTTCTTATTCAATAGCTAAAATTAGATTGTAATACATTTTCTTTCTTTCTTTCACTCTGTCTCTATTTTACTTTTCTTTCTATTATTTACTCAGCTAATCATGAGGCTTCTTGATCATGAAGACCTTGATCAGATGTGAGATGTCTTATGCAATGACTTCAAGAGACTCTCAGATCAGATCTTCATATCTCTTTCACTTAATCTGAAAATAAGTCTTACTGTTCTCTGTGCACTTTCTTATGATATTTTCAACTTCAAATTACAACTGATCATTAACAAGTACTGATTCTGATGATGAGTGCTTCATATTCACTTCTGTTAATACAGTCTTTTTCAGATGAATAATGAAGATTACTGAGTGTTTTTATCAATCAGCTAATAGTTTCAATTGAAATGCAGTATCTGATATCTTCTGAAGAACATGAAATAAGTCTATCTATAAGAGTGATAGCTTGAACATTTCTTTTAATATATAGTTCTTTTGAGCTTTTTAAGTGAGATTCAAGAAGACTTAATCATCAATCTGAATAGTTGATTGAAAATGAGATCAGTTGAAGAACTCAGTCATTCTAGCTTTTATCAGAGTATATAAGTCAAGAATGTCTTACTGCACTGCATCTCACACAGTGATAAACTCAGCTATATCTAGCAGAGCTTTCTCATTGTTCAATAACAGTCATCTAGACTTTACACTCATGAGTAATTCAAAGAAAGAGATCATTGCTGACTGTGCAGCTACTGAGTTCAACACTCTTTTCACTTATTCAAGCAGAGCAGTTCAATTTGCTTTATATTCATCTATAAGAAGTATTCACAATGTGACTTCAACTGTGAGATTGATTCACTCACTTTAATCATTTGAGTGAGAATTGTAGACAGTTGTCATTCATGTCTTAATTCTCATGAGTTGAAGAACTGACTTTCAAAATTGCAATGTAAATTTGAAGTCTCTATCTGAAATAATCATCAGTGAGAGCTGTCAGCAGCAGATCATCTTCTTATAGAAGTCTTTCACTTATTGTGAAGCATCTCATTATTTCTGTTCTACAATTAGAATTACTGCTTTCAAAAATTTGTCTATAACTGTCAATATAGTGTTATAATTGTCACTCACAGATAATTCTGTAATAAAATCAATCAAAAGAACTTCAAATGACTGTTTTAAGAATGAGATGAGATGTAATTTACTCCCTGATAAGTGATTCAGTGATTTGACTAGTTGATAATTGAGATATTATGATAGATGATCCAGGATTCTCTTTCAGATATGAGAAAGAAAGAAGAACTGATAAATAAGGTTTTTCATTTAATAAAGGCCAGAGTGACCTGCTGCATTGTAGCACATACAGATGACATCTCATATCAGCAATTTAAGAATACAGAGACATGATTCTTTGAAGAACAATAGCCTGTTTCACACTGTAAACAACTGATATTACTCTTTCTGACTGACCTTGTGAAAGACCTTTCTCAATACTGAGTTGCAGAGAATATCTTGATATAGTTGCTTTTTAAATTTGTCAGTGAGCTCTATTGCTGTAGTTGAAATCATATATATCTTCACTGAAGATGTGTCTGTCATCAGTTCATCTGTCTGATTGATGATGATCTGGCAGATTTTTTTCTGCTCTTCAGAGAGAATCTCTTCTGAATCATCATTTAGATAGTACAATCTGAATAGAGTGTCAGTATTAGTATGTATAATATTCTTGTAATAGCAGATTGTCATCTGTGAGAGGTATGAGCTTAAAACTAAGACTCAATTCATCAGTCAGTTGCTACAATGACCTATTATCAGTGACTGAAAAGCAGACATAAGAGTGACATGATCTGTGACAACTGTAAACTCATCATCTAAATACTGTAATAATTTCTGCAGGGCTCATATAAGTTCAAGATACTTCAATTCAGTTGCTCAGTAGTGCTTTTCAGCTGTGCTCAATCAGTGAGAGAGAAATAGAACAGATCTTTCAATATTATTCATTTCAACTTGATGTAGAGCTACTTCAATATCTCTTTACTTACTGACATTCACATATAATATGAAGGGACATTTAAAGTCGGGATATGCCTGAGTGAGAGTATTCATCAAGACTTGCTTTATCATGTTAAATAAATGTCTGGCTTCTGTGAGCAGAGTGTGAAACTGTAGCAAGTTCTCAAATCTCATCAACTTAATCTTAGCTGTGTATGATACTCTTTTCTAATCTGTTTTTAAATTATTACACAGCAACTTAGTCTTAAGAGTCTCTAATGCTTTCATCTGATCTGTATAAAAACTGATAAAATCACAATAATAATTGAAGAGGCTGATGATTCCTTCTAGTTCTTCAAGTATTATAGAGAAGACTAGATTAGTAATAGCAGCTACTTTCTCTTCTTGAGTAGATATATCTAGTCAGCTGACATGATGACTCAGCAAACACACTGAGAGATACATGAAATGACATTTAGTTAATAACATTGTTATTTCAGACATCTCAAGAGCTGTGAAGACTTGCTGTATATAATAAAGATGTTCATTCAGTAAGCAAGAGAAGATGATGATGTCATCTACATAGACTAACACAAATCATCATAGAAATTTCACTAGAATCTTCTTCATACACTGTTGAAAGAACTCAGGCAAGGTTGTCAATCTCATTATAATGACTGTAAAATGTTCAAGATCTCAGTGCAGAGTCATAAACATGGTTTTGAAATGATTATTCTGTTCAATCACTTGTTAAAAGAAGCCTTGACAGATATTCATGAATGAGAATACTGTAGAACTGCTGAGTGATTGCAACATATCTTGTTATATCAGTAGAGAGTATATATTGAGAAGTAAGTGTGCATTTACTTTTCACAAATCAATCATCATTCTCAGCTTTTCTCTAAGCCAGATCACAAAGATAGATGAAGTAATGAGATTTCTGTCTTCAAGAGAAACATGTTTGATTCTTCTATCTTGCAGGAGTGAGTTCAGAATCTGATCAGCAGCTTTGTGATCTCTTTGAGATAGAGAATAGAGTCTCTGTTTCAGACTGAAAAAGTTGCTCTCATCAATGAACTGCAGTGATATCTTAACATCATCTGAAAATAAGCCTAGACTGAAGCTAAATAGTTTGTGATGTCAGTTGATGATCACTTGAATAGCTGCTCAGTCTTCTGTCACTCAGTGATCTGATATATTCACTTAAACCTGCTCAGCAAGAGTGTCTGCTGTGAGAATTTGAAGTGAATTATCCTGATCTTCTACATTCATTAAATGTAATTCAATGTATAAGGTAGAAAACAGGGAATCTTCTCAGTCAGAATGATGAATAATATCAGCATTGATAATACAAATGATAATCTTCTTTCACTGTCAAGACAGCTGTGAGTTTGATGAGCATCTACCCGCGCGGATAGCATCTCTGATGATCTTGATATTTATAAAATATCTTTCATGAAATGTAACAAGCTCACTGTGAACATTGATAGTTGCTTTCACTGATAATAATACATCATTAGCTATGATTATATTGCATCTGAGATATCACACTAAGTGGAATTCATCTTCAATAATGAAAAGAGAATCATCATCTGCTCTTAAGATAAGATCTGTTGTTATGAATAGATTTGATTCATCAGCTTCTGAGTCAACTTCTCAAATGCTCACACATTGATCATGCAGTATAGAGGTTGATTGACAATGAGAAAAGAATAGATTTGCTATTATTGTGTTGATAAGTGATATATTCATGTCTGTATTCACACAAACAGAGAGATCATCTTGTGACATAATGACAGAAATGATGAGAAAGATGTAAGACAAATACTGTAGTTCACTAATGTATTCTTGATCACTTATAGAGATATCACACACTGCAACTGCATATATGTCAGTATTAAAGATGTTTTAATAATCATCTGAGAAAATGTCTGTAGACAAGATAAGTCTCTCAGTATCTGTCTCACTAATTATTTTTTCAACTCACTATCAGAATCTAGACTGAGATCTAGATTCAGTAGCTTGTCATCATCTTTCTCAGTACTCTTCAGTTCAACTTAATTCACTGAATAATCACTGTTCTTCTCTTTTTTGAGGCAGTGATTAATGTAATAAGAGCCTCTGCAGATGTAGCACTCTGCTGTGAGTGCTGACAGTCTTTCTTCTTCTGTTATACACTGAATTGATAACTTACTCATTGTGAGAGCACTTGTGAGAATCACTGCTATCTCTGCAGTAGACACAGACAGCTTTGTAGCTTCTGTCTGCTTAGACAGAGAGATGTGATACAGACAGCAGTTATTATTCTATTCAAAACATCTGAAACTATGCATGTAGTCAGCAAATTGAGTCTTTCAATCAGTTCAGACATGTTGAACAGCTGACTCATTGTCTCTAATTCATTATCAGAAGTTATTCAATCATTCAGCAGAAATGAGTGATGTGATTAAGAAAAGATTAAACTCTAAATTCTTTCACAAGAGCCTCTTTATTATAATGAAGTCAGAGATTGTGACAGCTCACAGTAAGTTAATCTTTCATGAGATGTATAATGTCAGAGACAGTTCATTCAACTTCTCAAAGAAAAAACACAGAGTCTGAGCTTTCATTCAAGCTTTCTCTTCTGATAGCTGAAACT